GATTGCATGTTATTTGCTAAGTGAGTGACATTTATTAAATGTTTCTGTTTTTGTTTTGCAAGTCACTGTACTGTAGAGGTATAAAGTAAAAAAGCAAGAGAAGCCTGCTGGGAGTTTACCGTCAAAAAGAGGGATTACAGTACTTCCAGATCCCTAAAAGATAAATAACATTGATTCAGCAATTTCCAGACACTGTGTCAATTGCTGACTGAATTATAATGAATGGAACCGACAAGCTTTCTTTCCTGCTAGAGTTAATAATCTTAGAATGGATACCACACCAGCGCAGAACTGGTTTGCTGAGTTTTGGGGCATCCTACTAGAAGAAACAGTCAAGTTGAGTGAAGGAAGTTAGGACTCACTACACGTGATCAGTAACATGTCTAGTGGATATTTATCTGTTTCTTTTGAAAACAAATTTCAGCATAGTTGTGTACCAGAGGAAAATATAACATGGACAAAAGCAACCGTCTATAAAGGAGCAAATGGTCCTTCAGTTTTTTTTTAATTTCAGTTTTCCTCTAGTTGTTTATACTGTACATCATTAAGTATACCAGGAATTATACTTTGCACCATTTTGTATTCCACAAAATTGTTTAAAAGGAGGGAGGGGCAGGCTGAAGTTGTGGAATAGTGGGAAAGTCACTACCTGTTTACCAGCATACAAGTGCCAGTTCATTTGCTGGCTCTTCTACTTCATGTCTAGCTCCCTGTGAAAAGCAGAAGAAGGTGACCCACATATTTGGGACCCTGCTGCACATGTGGGAGGCTCAGGAAGTTCCTGGCTATTGACTTCCTCCTGGCTCAGTCCTGGCTGTTTCAGCTATCTAGGGAATAAACCAGCAGATGGAAAATCATTTTCTCTCTCTTTCGTAATTGTTGACTTTCAGATAAATGAATCTTTTACTGAAAATGCTAACAAGATATATTAGGTTTTTCAAAATTTTTTATTTTGATATTATTTACATAGTTGAGAGGGATGCTTGCCCATGTGGGCCTCCAATTAGGGTGGGGAGACTTTGTGTGGAGGAAGGTTAGTGGGACGAATGTATCAGTTCTTTTTTCCTCTTCTTTGTCCACAAGGGAGGAAGGAGAGAGACCACTACTTGCTGTCAAGCATTATCTGCAATTTGGGATTGGGACAGCCATTGGATGACATCTGAGAGACCCCAATGTATTCTGAGGGTGTTCCTTGAGTAATTTTGTTAGTTCTGAAATGTTGGTTTTGTTGCATAGAGTTGAGAAATTGTATCCAAAGTCTGTTGGCTGACCAAGCCTACTTTGGTACATCTACAGACCCAGACATAGCTGCTTGGCCAGGAATGTTGTCCAACCTGTTCTGCTTCCCATCCTCTGGTAAGGGACATGATGACATCTGCTGGCTTAGATGAGCTGGCTGTCATATCCTCCAGGGCATCTAGGCATACTGTCCACTGTGTGAGCACCAGCAGCTGAAGAAGCATAGTCATGATACTAGCACCCCAAGGTTGGACTGTGTGTATTGTGGTTTTCCTTTGGCCAGGGTTAGCGTCCCACAGTAGGTGGAGTCCAGTGTAAACAGTTTTAATCTGGTATGGTTTTTCTTCAGTCATCTGCAGATAGCTTTAACTTTTCTGATGATCTTTTTTGATATAGATTTATTTATTTGTTTTAGTTAGAAAGTCAGACTTAAAGAGAGATGTTTACAATGGCCACAGCTGAGTCAGTGCAAAGCTGTGAGCCAAGCAATTCTTCCAACTGTCCCATGAGGCTGGATGGGCCCATGGTCTTTGGTTATCCTCCACTGTTTTCTCAGACCATAAGCAGGAAGTTGGATTGGGAAGTTGAGCAGCCAGGCATTAACCTATGCCCATAGGGACACCTGCACTGGCAGGTGGAGGATTAATCTATTATGCCAAAGTGCCCCAGATTCATTTATTTGGAAGGTAGAGTTACAGAGAAAATGAGTGATCTTCATTCTGCAAGTCTGTTCTCTCCCCCACCCCCACCTCCTGTACCCTGCATCAGCTGGTGCTGGACAAGAACTTGGAATTCCATTCAGATCATCTCCCATGATGGTTCAGGGGCTCAAACATTTGAACTATCCTCTTCTGGTTTCCAGGTGGAAGCTTAACTCACTATATCAAGATGCCATTTTCTCTGTTTTAAAACTATGACCATCAGGTCCAGGGTGATGGCTCAATTGGGAGAATTCTACTAGAGAAAATACAAAAGCTACTGTAGGGCCAACATTGTGGCTCAGTCATTAAATCCTCACCTTGTAAGTGTTGGGATCCATTATAGGCACCAGTTTATGTCTCAGCTGCTCTACTTCCCATCCAGCCCCTGCTTATGGCCTGGCAAAGCAGTTAAGAATGGCCTTGGGAGACCTGGAAGAAGTTCCTGGCCCCTGGCTACGGATTGACTCCCCCCCCCCCCCCCGACATTGCATCCACTTGTAAAGTGAACCAGTGGTTCTGTCTTTCCTCTCTGCAAATCTACTTTCCCAATAAAAATACATAAAAACAAAAATAAATAACCTTTTAAAAAAAACCCTGTTGCTTTAGACTTTATAGTGTAAAATGGAGTTGCTGTTATCCTAACTGCATTCTAAGCAGCAGAATTGAGGACAGAATAAAGAAGTGACACACTGTCCTTGAAGACACTTACGAAATTACACACATTACTTTTTCTTCTGTTTCATTAGCCAGGATATATTTACCGAGTCATATTAAGCTGCAAGGAAATCAAAGACTTTTTACTTAACCATAATCATGAAAGTGGGGAATTCTGTGACATGTTGTATAAACCTAGTAATATTTAATATATTTAATATCAATTGATATTGATATTTCTGCAATTTAATGTATTTACATTAATGTATTTATTAAAGTATTTAACAGTAGGTCAGATCTTTTTCTTTTTAGGAGTTAGTAACTTAAAGCAGCAGGGGTTGCTGTTGAGCAAGTATTTATTTTCTTTGTTCTGTCTACCCCTTTGCATCAAAATTTTTACATCAATAATTATGTGAATGGACAGCAGACTAAATCACTTAGCTTTCTAGAAAACCTAAGAAATTAGCATGGTTGTCCAGTATTCGCCTGCTTGTTTAGGTGATGCTTTTCCTTGAAATGAGAAGAGTAGTTGAGATGCACTCACACTTTACCCCCAACTACTTCGTTGTAATTGTATCATATCTCTTAACATAAAACCTGATTGTCTAATAAGTTTAAATTTCAACATTCACTTCCTTTATAAATAAAGTATGTAAAATCTTGCAAAAATTTATTGTGATTCAGTATAGACCTGATCTAAGTTTTTTTGACTTTTTGAGTGAGAAATGAAAAATTTGGATTTTGCTGCAGATATATTCTGTGGCTTTTGTGCAACATTTGTTTTACAAATAATATCACAAACAGGAGTGGAAACCATTTGGGTTTCCTAGAAAAAAATCCACATGCAATTGTGTGTCTGCTTCTAGGATTGCTTTATAAGCTCCAATGCCAGGTTATTTAAATGATAATAAAATATTCCAGTTATGTATTTCTTGAGTCTTGAGATTCTCTCTTTACTTTTTCTGGCTCATTAGTTCTTTAGGATGTATCTGTATACCCTGGGGGAGAATCTTAACAATACAAATACTGGGGCAGACAGACATTTGAGGGTAGGCATTCAAGATGCCATGCAAGATCTGCATTAGAGGACCTGGGTTCAATACTTGGCTCTGGCTCTTACCTCCAGCTTCATGTTAATGCAGACCCAGATCCACAGTGGTGATGCCTCCGGTGATTGGGTTCTTGCTGCCATGTGGGACACTTGGGCCAAATTCCTTCTTTCCAGCCTCTAGCCTGGCCTGATTGGACCATACTGGAAATTTGGGAGAATGAACCATTGGATGAGAGTTGTGTCTGCTGGCCTCTTAAATAAATAGAATACAAATAGTCCTTCTTTCCTCCCCAATCCCAGTGTCTAATTCTATAGGTTTAAGTGTGGCTAATTAGAATTTGCATCTCTAAGGCATGCTCATTAATGCAGTTGGTGAAGTACATTACTTATGGGCAGTCTGAAAGGGCAGGAAAATATATACAGGTGCCTCAATGAGCTACCATGTTCTTCATGTGCACCATAGTCTGCCATCCAACACTCCAACCCCTACACTGAGGAGGACCAGTTCTCCTAGGTGGGCTCATTGACCCATAAGCCTCAGGGGTCAGGGATCCAGTTTGGCCCTGGGTCTCCTGGCCCATGTCCTTGGGTCCATCTGTGTGATGGGTGCTGAACCCATTAACCCCAGGAGTTAGGGGATCCAGCTTGGCTCTGGGTCATAGTGGGTGTCTAGTCTGTGAGCCCCAGATAGTCATGTGATCTTGAGCAGTACCACATTTCCTTATCCTGTAAAATGAAGAAAGTAGGGATGGTTTAAAAACATTAATTCAAGTACATGAAACAGTATCTGCCTCATTCTTATTCTTCTGACTGCCGTTAATTGTTTTTCTCTAAATAAAAGGAATGTTCAATGACTTAGACATCATTTTCTAGTCCAAGAGTCTCCTAAATCACAACTTTGAAGGCCCAGCACAGTAGAAATTTGATTTATATTTATTATTTTTTCATTGGAAAGGCAGATATACAGAGAGAAGAGACAGAGAGGAAGATCTTCCGTCCGATGATTCACTCCCCAAGTGAGCGCAACGGGCCGATACTATGCCGATCTGAAGCCAGGAGCCTCTTCCGGGTCTCCCATGTGGGTACAGGTTCCCAAAGCTTTGGGCCGTCCTCGACTGCTTTCCCAGGCCACAGGCAGGGAGCTGGAAGGGAAGCGGGGCTGCCGGGATTAGAACCGGCACCCATATGGGATCCCGGGCGTGCAAGGCGAGGACCTTTAACCACTTGCGCCACCGCGCTGGGCCCGAAATTTGATTTATAATACAATTTTTTTAGCTCTTACTTTAGAAAGTTATGTTTAAACTATAATACTATATTAAGTAACACTAACACATGATTTTTTTTTTTTTTTGCAGATGTTCTCAAATAGTGATGAGGCTGTAATCAATAAAAAACTTCCCAAAGAACTACTATTACGGTAAGTCTGAATATTGAATTTATGTTTGTTTTTGTACATGTGCATCATATTTGTTCACTTGAAAATTTTTAGAATTGTCTTTACTTTTCGTAAGTGTACATAGTCTTTTTTAAAATATATTTTAATTTTGAATTCTGAATTACATGGTACAATTTCGTATAGGCTGGGATCCCTACCCCCATCCCCAATGTTTATCGTCTTTTATTTGCATTCTTAACCTTATGTCTGTTTTTTATGCCTTCAATTCATGTATTTATTGCTGGGATTTCATGGTGAGAAGCCTGTGGAATAATATCATATTTCTTCTTTTACACTACCCTGCAATGTATAAAATATCAACTACAGTGTATTGATCTATAACAGCCATACTCAATTAGACAACAATGGGAGTTGATTCCATTGAAATATGTATGTAAAGATAATTAAAGTGGAAAATTTTATGTTCTATATATATTTATTTAAAGATTTATTAATTTTTTATTGGAAAAGCAAATATACAGAGAAAACAAGAGAGAGAGAAAAAAATCTTCCAACCGCTGGTTTACTCCCCAAGTGGCCACAATAGCCGGAGCTGAGCTGAGCTGAAGCCAGGAGCTTTTTCCAGTTCTCCCAAGTGGGTGTTAGGTCCCAAGGCTTTGGGCCATCCTCTACTGTTTTCCCAGGCCACAAGCAGGGAGTGGAAGGAAAGTGGAGCAGTTGAGATATAAACTGGTGACCATATGGGATTCTAGCACATGTAAGGCGAGGACTTTAGCCACTGTAGCCACCAGGTCAGGCCCTAATGTTTCTTTGTATGTAATACTGTTTTTATAAACTCATATCCATAGAGAATAATGTTAGCATACTGGGTTCAAGATTTACTAGGAGTGGTTCTTTTAAAATAGTTAATGTTATATGATCACTTTGGTGCATCATTTGTTTCAGTTTAATTCCAGAATAGTCTCATCCTTCAGAATGAATTTTAGGTTTTCTATGCTATATAACATTAACATAGTTCACAAGTAAAAATTATATCATCCATGATGTCTGATCCCATCATTTTATATAAGAAATATTGTCTTTAGTTTCTGATTATCCTTACTTACATCGACTTTTTTTTGGCAAATTAAATGTTACTGTCATTGTTATTAATTGTATATTCACAAATTTCTCCTTTTTCTTCTTTTTGACTAAGGCTTTTTGAGTTGCTTTTTATTTAGAAAGCAAGTTAATTTCATGTATTTCACAATATAGATTTAGAAGCATAGGGGCTCTTCCCTTCCCACCTACCCCCAAATTTATTGATTCTTTTGTCAGTCTTACTATATGTTGTATAGTTGTGAAAGTTACTTTCAAGTTTAAGTAGTAATATATATAACTGTGTTGACCAGTTTTCTCATTGTTTCATTCTTGTGTACAATGTGATGTCTTTTTTTTTTTCCATCTTATATTAAGTGCTTTAAATAGTGATTCTGGGATCTACAATTATGACTTCCCATGCTTAATATCAAACTGTCCCTATACAGAATGTTATAGAGACTGAAAAATGGTATGGAAAGATTACAGCCTTTATTTGAAAAATTATTGAAGTATGTGTTTTATGTACATCTAACAGATCTACTTGACTTATGTTTTTTCAGTGTTGTATTTCTTTTTTTTTTTTTTTTTAAGATTTATTTCTATTATTATTTTCTCATTGGAAAGGCGGATATACAGAGAGGAGAGACAGGGAGGAAGATCTTCCGTCCGATGATTCAATCCCCAAGTGAGCACAACGGCCTATGCTGTGCCAATCCGAAGCCAGGAGCCAGGAGCTCTTCCGGGTCTCCCACTCGGGTGCAGGGTCCCAAAGCTTTGGGCCTTCCTTGACTGCTTTCCCGGGCCGCAGGCAGGGAGCTGGAAGGGAAGCGGGGCCGCCGGGATAGAACCGGTGCCCATATGGTATCCCGGGCGTGCAAGGCGAGCACCTTAACCACTACGCCACTGCGCTGGGCCCTAAAAATAATCTTAAGAAGAAGAAAATATTACTTTTATTTTTTGCATTTTCCTTTTACATTCAGTTTGAAACTGTCATACTTAAACAAAAGTTACTTACATGTTGGCATCTCAACCAACAACACTACAGTTACCAGGATCAGGAGATTTTTGCTGTCATAACGCCTATCAGTAAATCTACAAACCTCATTCAGATTCCTTAACTGTCACACTAGTAAGCTTTGTTCTGACTCAGGGTGCTAATCTGGGCAGGTTCCTTAGTCTTTCCTTTGTCTTTCATAATCTTAATACTTTTATTCAATATGGCTGTCAATTTCATAGAATCTTGTTCAATTTAGCTTTGTCTTTTGTCTCACACATTCTCATAATTAAAATCAGGTATATATTTTGGCAAGTGAACTGTACAAATAGTCTTGTAACCTTTTCCATTTACTGTAACAGAACATACATGTAATGTTAATTTTAATCAGTTAGTATATCTTTCATGTAAACAATGTAAAGTGATTTTTCTGTTTGTAATTAGTATATTTGCAGTTATGTGGATGTTCTTTTACTCATTTTTGTCTCTTAATTTTAGCATCAGTTTTCACTGTAATTTATTAGAGTTTCTATTTGGATTTGTTTCCATTTTGAGTAAATAAAAGGGCTTTTCTTTCTTTTCCATTTGTAGTATGAACTGTTAAACACTTCATTCTGTGATTTGTTTTGTTACTGTCATTATTTTGTTGCTCTGTTTTTCTGTGTCTTTAGTTTGTGTGTATATCTGCTGTATCTGTTAGCTCTACAGTTTAGTGATTACATAGTATTAAGTTTGGACAGATTTTTAAGTTGCATGTTGCAGCATTTGATCTAGCATGTGTTAGTGCACAGTGAAAGAGCTTTGTTAGAACCAGATGACCAGTGAATTAAGCAAGTGTTTCCTTTTAAGTTTAACTTACTTACTGATTGGCCTTTTTTTCCTTTTCAAACAGATATTATAATTAATGATTTAGCAGGCTGGAATGCGCTGTTTGCATAATGTAAAATTGAGAATATGTTTCTTCAGAGCAGGATCATGTGCCCTTGTCTGGGGATAATTCTTATAAAATGAATGTCAGTGTTTATAAGACAGTGTTGCTATTTTTGTTCCAAGAGTCAATGTGAAGTGACTTCTTTGCCAAAGATTTCTTGTTAAGTGATACTGGTAACTATAAAAAGTGAAATTAAAAAAAAAATAGTGAAATGAACTCATCAGACTGCATGAACCTACAAAATACAGTTTCAGAAAGATTAGTACTTAGATTGTGAATTTTTTTATTATTTTACAACTCTTGGGGGAGTTCAATTATAATTTTTATGTAAGTAGATAGGAGAAGAACCTTCTGAACTTTAAGGTGGACGCAGTGATTGATTATCTGGGCTTTTCTGTTCTTGGTTTTCCTTTATCTAAAATAAAAACCAGATGGGCATGTGCACAGCTGGTAAGACATAGCCTGGGGTACCAATATCCCATATTGGAGTGTCTTGAAACAACTCCCGGGCTGAGCCATTACCTTTGCCTCTCATAGTGCACATTAGCAGCAAGCTGGATGGCAAAGGAGGCAGACTCCATCCCAGGCACTATAGTATATGGGATGCAGGTCTCCCAAGTGGCAACTTAACCCACTGCATCGTAGTGCCTGCCCCTCAACTAAATTTTAAGAAGGGTCATATTGATCCAGGGATCCAGGGATTTGGATTCTGGTGGTAGTGGCAACAAGTGTGGCCTAGTGGGGGACTCAGGCCAGATAGCCAACGGGCTGATGGGGGCCCGCAGGTAAGCTCTGTCCAGTTCCTCCAACAAAGGCAGCCCATGCCTTGCCATGGGGGTGCCTCTCGATGCCCCAGAACCCTCTAGGACCTCGTCATGGGGCTGGTTGGACACACAGCCAGACTGCAAACCTTCTCACATCCCCGTACTGCAGGGTCCTCCGCTGCCACAGAGGTTGGGCGCTGGCCTGGCCTGCACTCGGCTACCCCCAGGGCTGTACCAGACTCCTCAGTGTGATGGACCAGACCAGCTGCCCCACCTCCTACCCCACTAGACCCCAATTCCTTCTCCCTCTTCTGTGTGACCTTAACTCCCTCTGCATCGGGGAGTTCCCCTGACCCCTGTCTACCTCTGAAGCACCTGACTTCATGGGATCAGGCCCTTCAGGACCACCAGGCTCAAAGGGGGACCTGTGTTGTCCATCCTGGTCGAGGGATGACTAACATTATTATTATTATTATTTAAATATTTATTTATTTATTGGAAAGGCAGATATACAGAGAGGAAGATCTTCCGTCCGATGATTCACTCCCCAAGTGAGCACAACGGCCGATGCTATGCCGATCCAAAGCCAGGATCCAGGAACTTCTTCCGGGCACCCCACATGGGTTCAGGGTCCCAAAGCTTTGGGCCGTCCTCGACTGCCTTCCCAGGCCACAAGCAGGGAGCTGGAAGGGAAGTGGAGCTGCCTGGGCCAGAACCGGCGCCCATATGGGATCCTGGTGCGTTCAAGGCGAGGACTTTAGCCTTTAGGCCACGCCGCCGGACCTATGACTAACATTGAATGCCTTAGAGGGCCTTAGAGGAGCCAGGCCAGTTCTGGTGTGCTGAGGACCTGTGACTAGCTGAGCCTCTGACAGTAAAGCTTTGCTCCTGCCAAAAAAAAAAAAATCATATTAGAAGATGTTTGTGCCCCCTCACAACCACCTCATTGAAATCTAACAAGCAGGGACCTGATGTGGTTGCCTAGCAGCTTGCCTTGAATGCACCAAGATCCCGTATAGGCGCTGGTTCTAATCCCAGTGTCCCCGCTTCCCGTTCAGCTCCCTGCTTGTGGCATGGGGAAGCAGTCAGGATGGCCCAAAGCCTTGGGACCCTGCTCCTGTGTGGGAGACCTGGAAAGAGCTCCTGGCTCCAAGCTTTGGATTGACTCTGCTCTGGCCATTGCAGCTACCTGGGGAGTGAACCATTCGAAGGAAGATCTTCCTTTCTGTCTCTCTTCCTCTCTGTATATCTTTCTCTCTGTATATCTGACTTTCCTTAAAAAAAACAAATCTACCCAGCAGTGTGATAATATCAACGATAGAAATTTCTTAGAGCTGTTCAACCAAAGGACAGGGGCTTTCATGAGCAGCTTAGAATAAAAGCTCCAGTCTCTTCCACTATTTCCGGCACGGGCTGACCTGTCTCGAATGTGCAGTCTTTCAAGTATGTCAAATAATAATTAGTTATATTCCCTGAACTATTGGTGCAGACATTCAGTCTCTTGATTTGAAAGTATTTAAAAATAATTCCCGGGCCCGGCGTGGTGGCGCAGTGGTTAAGGTCCTTGCCTTGCACGCCCGGGATCCCATATGGGTGCCGGTTCTATCCCGGCGGCTCTGCTTCCCTTCCAGCTCCCTGCCTGTGGCCTGGGAAAACAGTTGAGGACGGGCCAAAGCTTTGGGACCCTGCACCCGAGTGGGAGACCCGGAGGAAGAGGCTCCTGGCTTCGGATCGGCATAGCATCTGCCGTTGTGCTCACTTGGGGATTGAATCATCGGACGGAAGATCTTCCTCTCTGTCTCTCCTCTCTGTATATCTGCCTTTCCAATAAAAAAAAAATAATAAAAATAAATCTTTTAAAAAAAATTCCCAAGAAAACATGCACCAAAGAAATTAAGAGTAAGCAAGCAAGAGATATATAGACATTGTAAATAAACAATGCATAGTAGGCCTTTGGTCCAGTGGTTCAGACGCCACTTGGGAGATGTGCGTTCAGTATTGGAGTGTCTGAATTCTAGTCTTTCTTGACCTTGTGGTCCAGCCTCCTGTTGATACAGACCCCGGCAGGCAGCAGGTGATGGCCTTGGATCCCTGCTACCCACAAGGGAGATGCGCATTTAGTTCCCAGCTTCTGGCTTTGGTTTGACACCTAGCTGCTTTCAGCGTTTAGAAAGTGAACTGCTGAACTGAAAGCAATCTCTGTTTTTCTCAAATAAAAATAAATAAATGGCTTGTCTTAAGGCATTGTTTAATGAAAATCTGATTCAAGTTGAAGTTTAAAATCTAACTCATTCCAACCGGAATAAATTTGAATATGTATCATGAAATTGCCACTTGGCAGTGATTTATTATGAATATGCCAGCCAATTTCTTTGACTAAGCTGAGCAGTGACTCTGATAGTTTGATTTGTGTTATACTTACTTCAGTGAATGACTATAACATGTGCTTTTATATTACATGTTGTATATGTACTTAGTCAAGAGAATTTATACTATAATTATGGAATGCAGTCAGACTACATTTGTTAAAAGTGTACAAAAACTTGCAACCCTGAAGAAAATTCAGACCTGCATTTGTTGACTAAAGACTGCTTTACAGTCTTTATAGCACTATTTTATTCTAAACATGTGAAGTATTTTGGAGGACTTATGTAATTTATATGCAAATACTGTGCATTTATTATAAAGGACTTGAGTATCTGAATTTCAGAATCGAGAGAGGGTCAGAAATTCTGGAACTGGTCCCCACGGATAACAAGGTGTGATTGAATATGAATATCAGTATTGTTTTCCAAGCTACATGCAACTATTGCTTTCTTTTTTTTAAATTATACTGGCTATCCTGGATAGGATACTATCAGAAATCAGTCTCTAAATGTTAATATTCCTTTCTGTGCAGTAATGAAGTGTATTCAAAGCATTATGCTAAGATTTTTTAAAAAAAAAATTTATTTTATTGGGCCCGGCGCGGTGGCGCAAGTGGTTAAGGTCCTCGCCCTGCACACCCGGGATCCCATATGGGCTCCGGTTCTATCCCGGCGGCCCCGCTTCCCATCCAGCTCCCTGCCTGTGGCCTGGGAAAGCAGGCGAGGACGGCCCAAAGCTTTGGGACCCTGCACCCGCGTGGGAGACTCGGAAGAGGCTTATACCGGCATGGTATCGGCCGTTGTGCTCACTTGGGGAGTGAATCATTGGACGGAAGATCTTCCTCTCTGTCTCTCCTCTCTGTATATCTGCCTTTCCAATAAACAAAATAATAAAAATAAATCATTAAAAAAATTATTTGATTTTATTGCAAAATCAGATACACTGAGAGGAAGATCTTGCGTTCCATGATTCACTCCCCAGGTACTGCAATGGCCAGTTTATGCTAAGATTTTTATGTGCAGTGTTTGAAGTCTAAAGTTGTTTATATTTGAGGCTCAGCTGGTCTTCCTTATTCCTTTGATATTCCAGGTAGGAAAGAAAAAAGGGAAGGACAAAAGCACAATATGAAAATACGAATCTACATTAAAAGTCAAGGGTTCTCCCACTTGGAGAGTGAATCTTCGGACGGAAGATCATCTTCTCTCTCTCTCGTCCTCTATGTATATCTGACTTTGTAATAAAAATAAGTAGATCTTTAAAAAAATGAATTTTACCTTTTCAAATAAATATCTCCATTGTTAAGTACATCAAATAAGTAACAGGTGTTGCTAAATAGTGTTAAACATTTAGCAGGAAAGTCATGGAGTAATAGAATGTGTGCCCTGCAAAGGCAGAGATGTAGATCTTACGTCCGCTGGTTCACTCAAGTACTTCCTTGCTTCCCTGTCACCCACATGGGAAGTCTAGCCTAGTCCCAGCTGTTATTTGGGGGAATAAACCAATTAACAGATGATCTGTGTCTGTCTCTTGACTTCTCAATTTTTTTAAAATGAAGAGTTAACATTTTATAGCTTTTTTATTATATTAGCTTATTTTTATCCATTTTATTTGATAAAATTATTTAGAAGGAATCTCTCTCCTGGCCTATTTCTTTGATAGGACCTTATGAAAAATTTTAGGAAAAACTTAGGACGGGACTGTGACTTTAGTAAATATTTTAGGGAAAAAAAAAACTTTAGGGAAAAAATTTCCCTTCAAAAAAAAAAATGGTATCAGCAATCATTTTCCTTTGATGTAATTTATCCAAGCTTAGGTACAGCATTTCTGTGTATGTTATCAGTTACAGAATTACTTTATTTCACTGTTCTATGCAGGCAATAGTATCCTTGTAAACTGTTCAAGATTATGGGTAAATGTGTATGTATGTATATAACATCAGTTATTTTTTTAACATCAATTATTTATAGGTTGAAATAAAAGACTATCATACAAAAAGTTTGTTTTTCTTTCTTCTTTATAGGATATTTTCTTTCCTGGATGTTGTTACCTTGTGTCGCTGTGCTCAAGTCTCCAGGGTAAGCATAATTGACATGTCTTAGAGGGACCATTTCCTAATGATGATAATGATAATAGCGCATGTGGTGGACTAACCATTTACTTTATGTGTTATTTGCTTTTTATGCTCCAAAACATAAATATTCCAGCCGTAGAATTCTCAGACACATCCAACTTGGTGATGAGATTGTACCATATTTACATATACACATGCTATCTATAACTCTTAACTCGTTTTCATAATATAAACAAAGGTTAAGGTTTTCCATGAAAAATCATGAACATCCATTAAAGGTTAGGCTTTGCTCAAAATTGTGGTAAAATTCTGTTTTAGTTTGTTTTATACAGACACATAACTTTTTTTTTTTAGATTGATGTTTTTTTACATAAATTTTCAGATTTCCAGAGAGAAGAGAGACAGAGAAAGATTTTCCATGTACTGGTTCATTTCCCAAATGGCTGCCATCTGAAGGCAGGAGCCTCTTTCAGTTGTTTTACTTAGGTCCAGAGTCCCAAGGCTTTCGGCTGTCTTCTTGTTTTCTCAGGCCAGAAGTAGGGAGGTAAATGGGAAGTGGAACAGATAGGTTGCATCCAGTTCCCATATGGGATACCGACACTTTGAAGTAAAGGATTAGCCCATCAAACCATGGCATTGACCCAAAACTTACTCCTCCCCCCTTTTTTTTAATTGGAAAGTCAGATATACAGAGAGGAGAGACAGAGAGAAAGATCTTCTGTCTGATGATTCACTCCCCAAGTGGCTGCAGTGACAAGTTGAGCTGATGATGAGCCGGGAGCTTCTTCCAGATCTCCCACATGGGTGCAGGGTCCCAAGGGTTTGGGCCATCCTTGACTGCTTTCCCAAACCACACGCAGGGAACTGGATTATAAGTGGGGCCACCAGGACACAAACCAGCACCCATATGGGATCCTGGTGCATGCAAGGGAAAAACTCCAGCCACTAGGGTCCAACATTTAGCTTTCATATGTCTAATTTTTCCCCCATATCCTTAACTCAACATGATAGCTAAATTTATAAACCCCCCCCCCCAAAAAAAGGAAAAAAAGAAAAGAACAAAAAAAGTGAAAATAATCGTAGAGCAAACCATATTCCCTTCCTTAAATCTTTCTTTCCATTGTGCTTTACCTATATTTTGTCAGTTAATATTGCTATGGCAAAATGGTGAACCATCATAATTTTATAGGCTGCTGGTAATATAGTAGTTGTGGGAAAATTGCCTTATGAACCATTTCTAATCTCTTTTGTAATGCAGATATGTAGTAGTTAATAAAATGAGGGTGTTGAGCCTGGTGCACCAGTGTAGCCCCACCTACAATATGGCATCGCATACAGGCACTGGTTCAAGGACCAGCTGTTCCACTTCCTGTCTAGCTCCCTGCTTATAGCCTAGGAAGGCAGTGGAGGATGGCTTGGGCATCTGTACCCACATGGGAGGATAGAGGAAGTTCCAGGCTCCCAGTTTTGGACCAGCTTCACTCTGCCCATTACAGCCATTTGGAGGGTGAGCCAACAGATGGATTTTAATGATTTTTTTAAAGATTTATTTCTTTTTATTTGAAAGGCAAAGTTGCACAGGTACAGGGTCCCAGGGTCCCCATATGAGATCCGGCACTTGCAGGGCGAGAATTTGACCACTGAGGCAAGGCACCAAGCCCGTCCCTATTTCTTTTAAATGCAGAGTTACAGAGAGCAGGATAGTCAGAGAAGTCTTCCCTCTGTTTTTTTCCCCAAATGCCCACACCAGGCTGGATCCCTGACATACCAAAGAAAGACCCTGGGTACTTTTTATGTTTCTCCCAAATGGATGCAGGGGCCCAAACACTTTATTTTCCAATTCTTTCCCAGACATGTTAGCAGGGAGTTGGATGAGAAATGGAGCAGCCAGGTCTCAAACCAGCATCCATATGGGATGTTGGCAATGTAGGCCATGGGTTAACTTGTTACATCACAATGTTGGCCCCAGTGATTTATTGCGTGATATTTCTTCCTTTATTCTTTGTGCTCCAGACATGGTCATTATTAACCTTCAAGTGAATGTTTTTTCCTGTCTTCTCTTAAGGTTGAGGTCATCATCCCGAAACAAATACTTAGTTCAGTGTCTAAATCTGTGTAGTTTGCAGAATCTCACCCCAGGAAGGCTGATTTTCATGACATTGAATTGTGTTCATTTGCAAGGATCATCTTCCTTTAAGTGTATTAAGTTTGAGGAAAGACAATACAAATTTTCCATTAAATATGGATTTTTTTGTTTTAAATATGGATTTTTTTTTTGTACTTGAAGCTTTCAATGTAGATTCCAAAGAGAAACCTGTTGTCCCTAATTTTATTTTGAGTCTCTGTGTTTCTTGTTGTAAAGTACTGTAATGAAATGAGAAATGTCATACCAAATCAGAAATACACTGTAGGCCAAGAAGCTCCTTAATGTGTTATTTTAAGATTTATTTATTTTTTATTACAAAGTCAGGTATACAGAGAGGAGGAGAGATAGAGAGGAAGATCTTCCATCCGATGATTCACTCCCCAAGTGAGCCACAACGGCCAGTGCTGCACCAATCCAAAACCAAGAACCAGGAACTTCTTCTGGGTCTCACACGCGGGTGCAGGGTCCCAAGGACTTGGGCCATCCTTGACTGCTTTCCCAGGCCATAGGCAGGGAGCTGGAAGGGAAGTGGAGCTGCCGGGATTAGAACCGGCGCCCATATGGGATCCTGGGCGCGTTCAAGGTGAGGACTTTAGCCGCTAGGCCACTGTAATGGGCCTAGAGGATAGTTAACTTGTTGAACAGTTGTGTGACAAGTCTTAAACTATCAGTTGTAACAAGTTGAAGGGAAAGATGATTCAGTGACAGACATACCTGTGCAAGCAAACTACTGACAAGAAAAGCATTAAGTACAGAGAAATATCCACAACCTCAAGTCCAGCCAAGTGATCCTGTGCATTCCAAATGTATATTGAACAAGCTGTATTCAGCATGCCATCCCCTTGCTCTGGTTTCGCTCTTAGCGTTTTCCCAGTGCAGGAGTGGAGCTTAGACCCAGGGGAGTGGAGATTAGAAATTGAACTTTCTAGTTTGAAAACACTTTCTGGCTACGATATTCATCGTAACCCCTAATTTCCCTGGCTTCCATAATTGAAAATTTTTGCAGCTACCAGCTTCTGTGCCCTCTCATGTAATGAAATTATCTGATTGGAAAAAAAATAATAAATCTGGATTCAAACGAATGCTGATAATTTAGGAGTTAGCGGTTGGACTGAGATAATTTGTGGTCTATTTCAATCATTAATTCGGTTGAACTGTGACTTGGTATTACTGGCTTTTCCTCTTCATTCAGCTTTTGCTCATTTCTTTTCTTTTTCTTCAATACAGGCCTGGAATGTTCTGGCGTTGGATGGAAGCAACTGGCAGCGCATTGACCTGTTTGATTTCCAGAGGGATATTGAGGTATAATTATGTGGTGTGTGCCCTCATTTCTCTTGCCGGTAATTACAGATGAAAGAGATCAGCCCCAACCATGTAAATCTAATTTTCCCTAAAGAGGGAAACTATGATTTTCAGTCCATCTGAACTCCATCTGAATCTCCAAAGTTCCAACTGTTCCTTCAGCTTTTGAGAATGAGCTGACATTTCATTGAGGCAATAAAAAAATATTTAGAATTAGTTGGTCCTGAGTTAGGAGCAGATATTGTTTGATTTTGTAGAGGAATGTAAACTGCTCATTTTAAGGAAATTATTTCATATATGTTTTACTGGGGAACACGTGGAATTACAACTTGGTGGTATTGATATTTGCATGTATTCTTGAAATGAGATTCTTTTCTCTTAAGATTTACTTCTTTGAAAAATAGAGGCACAGGGGCTGACACCATGGGTTAGTAGGTTATGCCCATGCCTGCAGTGCCAGCATCCTACGTGGGTGCTGGTTCAAGTCGTGGCTGCTCCATTTCTGATCCAACTCCCTGCTGATGTGCCTGTGAAAGCAGTAAAGAGTGGCCCAAGTACTTGGGCCCCACTGTATGCATGTAGGCATTCTCATCTGCTTTTCCAGGTACATTAGCAGGGAGCTGGATCAGAAGTGGAGCAGCTGAGACTCCAACCATTGTTCATAGGATGCTGCTGGCACATCAGGCAGTGGCTTTATCCGTTGTTCCACATTGCCACACCAAGATGAAATTATTAAGGTTGCAAAAACTTTGTAGCCTACTTATGTCTTATTGAAAAAGATAGGTAAGACTAAAATTTCGCAATTAAGACTTCATTTAATGTCCTTGGGACACTACAGATAATTTTTGTGGGGAATGAATGAAAGAAGTCCTTTATTAAATTGTCTTTATAGTCTTTTTTCACTCCCCACTCTTGTGCCCTACCAAGTGCTGTACTTTATCCCTTAATACAGTTCATCTCTAAAATGGAAACACATGATGTCTTAAGTGCAAGTTACCTTAACCTCAGCTTGAACTCTCTGGTCCTTAACTTTTTTATAAGGAGATAATATTATTATAAGTTCCAACTTGATTGTCCACGTAATATGGTATTAAAAAAATCTTACAAGAACCTTCAGTTGTCTTACTTAAAAATTTATTTTGTTTTATTTCAAAGGCAGAGAAAAATATAAAAATTTCTTGAGTCTACTGATTTATTCTGCAAGTGACTGCAGCAGCCAGGGTTGGACTGCCATAAAGCCAGTAGTCCAGAACTCGATCTGGTCCAATGCTATGGGTATCAGAGAGCCAAGTACTTGGGCCATCACCACTGCCTCTCAGGATATGTGTTAGCAAGAAACATGAATCAAAAGAAACACTACAACTTGAGCCCTACTCCAGTGTGGGATGTGGGCATTCTAGTTAGCGTCCTCACCACTACACCAAACGCCAAAAAGTGCTTTCCAAACAGTGTCCACAGGCTTTGTCCTGGATTTTGTTTTCACAATTCTCTAATCTTTGTGGATCTAAGTGCTTATACTAACATGACCTACAAAAATCACTCAGCAATCTTTTAAATTCATTGAGTCTAGAGTATATGTAAAGTCAGTTTAGTTGTCCTTCTGTACTTGTGGTTTAACCAGGGAGGACATGCACGTAGATTTAAGACCAAGTAGATAAATTAATTTTCTTGTTAAATAAATTAGGTCTTTAAAAAAGTTAGGAGCCTTTTCTCTGTGTTTAAAAATTATTAAGAGTAAGTATATATCCACTTCGAAAGCAGTAAGGTTATCTTTTTATTTAACTTTTTTGCAGGGCCGTGTAGTGGAGAATATTTCAAAACGATGTGGGGGCTTTTTAAGAAAGTTAAGTCTTCGTGGGTGTCTTGGAGTAGGAGACAATGCATTAAGGTAAAAGCAACTGTTAACTAGTCTTGGATAAAGAACAGTTCTATCTCACTCAGAAAAGGTTCTGACAGTTTTTATAATCCTGTACTGTTAACGGTGCAAATGAGGAAGTCAGGAAGCGTTAATTTCAGGAATATACAAGAAATCCTTCTCCAAAAAGAGCCAAAATCTCCAGCATAAATGTTTTTGTGGAGGCTGCAGCAAGATTTTTTGCTTTGTTTTATAAACTTCCTTTAGCAAAGACAAGTTAATTTTTGTTTTTGTTTGTTTTGAGAGGCACCACTGCATTCTCTTATTCACTTCCCGTATGTACACACCAGCCTAGAGTGGACCAGGCTGAAAACAGAAACTGAAAACTCAATCCAAGTCTTCCGTGTAGGTGACAGGAACCCCGTAACTTGAGAGAATGACTGCTGCCTCCTGGGATCCATATTGCCAGGAAGCTGGAGGTAGGAGCCAGAGAGAAAATGAGGTCCAGTTCCCGAAACAGGGTAATGCTAACTTGGGTTGACACAGAGACAATGTCTACTAGCTTATGGGTTGTTGTTTTTTTTAAATACTACAGAAAATGGTGTTTTATAATCATTTTCTATCATCCTCAGCTACTCTTATTCTTAACACTTATTTATATAACAAAGGTATATAATTTTCTGCTGCCCAACAAGCAATTCTTTGATTTTCTGGATATCAAAGAGACACCCTGCAGTCCAGTTTCTGACACAGCAGGGTTAGCCACCTTCTAATGACATGGTTCTGCCAAACTGCCCCTACTTTTGATGCCAGTTGGAAATCCCATGTTGCCATATAATTTTGGTCATTGGGTTTTACTTCAGGGGTTCCCATGAATGTCCACCCCAAGTTAGACAATTTACTGGAGTGATTGACAGAACTCAGGAAACTTCTTTGATTCATTGCCAATTAAATAATACAAACGAATAGATCTGGAGGTAATTAGGGCAAGACCTGAAAGGCTTTCACCCAGGAGCACACGCCTCATGGATTGAGGCAGGTCACCCTCCTGTCAAGCAATTACAAAAAAACAGAATCACAGAGAGATCTTCCATTTGTTGGTTCACTGCCTAAATTATGGCAAGAGGTAGGGCTAGACCAGCCTGAGTCAGGAGCCAGGAGTTTCTCCTAGGGCTGCCAAGAGGGCACAAGGGCCCAAGGACTTGGGCCAAGGCATGTTGCCAGAGAGCCGGCATGAGAGTCGCAGAAGCCAGGTCTCAAAACATCAGCCACATGGGATGCCAGTGCTACAGGTGGCAACCTAGCCCTTTTTACCACAACACGGACCCTAGAAGAGTGTTTCATGGAGGTTTTATTACACAGGCTTAGGTGAAAATACACCTATCACTCAGAAAGTTTCAAGGACTTTAGGAACCCTGGGCTGAGAACCAGGGCTGAAGACCAAATCATGACATCAAAGGAACCAGCAGCCAGTGTTACACAGTAATAGCTTTTTGAGGGGTGGGGCCTGGAATGTTGCTTGTTTCATTTGAAATGTTTTACTTTTCTTTCTTTTTCTGTAAAGGACCTTTGCACAAAACTGTAGAAACATTGAAGTACTAAATCTAAATGGATGTACGAAGACCACAGATGCGTAAGTACTGTGAGATCTGGAAGGGTAAGTCCCAGACCCTGTGTCTGGAATGCTATGTACTGCCTTTACATACAGTCTCTTTAGTGAAAGCCTCACTGACAGCCTGTATAGTCACCAGTCCAAGTCCTGGCTGCTCCATTTCCAATCAAGCTCCCTGCTTATGGCCTGGGAAAACAGTGGAGGGCCTTGGGCCCCTGTAGCCAAGTGGGAAAACCTGAAGAAGCTCCTGGCTCCCAGAGACCAACTCAGCTCTGGCTGTCGTGGCCATTTGAGGAGTGAACTAACTGATGGAAGACTGTTCTTTGCCATCTCTCCTTGTCTCTAACTCTCAAGTAAAAATAAATCTTTTCTTAAAAAACCTTTTCAATAAACTAAATGTATCAACATTCAAAAACAGGAGTTGGAATTGTGGTGTTTCAGGTAAAGCCACTACCTGTGAAGCCAGTATCCCAAATGGGTAACCAGTTCATGTCTCAGCTGCACCACTTCCAATCCAGCCCCCTGCTGATGGCCTGGGTAAAGCAACAGAAGATGGGCAAATGCTTGGATCTCCTGCCTTGGGAGACCTGGATGATACTCCTAGCTCCTGGCTTTGATTCTGTCCTTTGCAGCCATCTGGGAAATGAACCAGCAGATAGAAGATTCCTCACTTTTCCTCTCTGTGACTCTTCAAAAAAATCTTTTAAAACACATTTTTAAAATGCCCGTCTGGGTTTGTCCCAGAAATACAAATTGGGTTTAACATCTATAAGTCAGTTAACATAAAATACCAGACTAGAATACTTGGTAGAATAAAGCAGGGCTCAGTAAACTTTTACTATGGGCCTGGATTAGGACATTGAAGCTTTCTGACCCATGCAGTCTATTGAACATACTCGATCCTCCAGGGTCTGGTGCAGCCACAGGAGTACCACAGTCAGCAGGTAACACAAGCATGGCTGTGCTCCAGTAGATGCTGAGACTTGAATTCCATTTCATGCTAACAAATCACAATGTTGCAACCTATGAGTTTATTTTAGCCATTTGAAAATGTGAAAGTCATTCATGATGTGTTGGCTGTGGAAAAATAAGCGGCAGGCATGATTTGGCCCCCAGGCCATAGTTTACTGACCTGGAATAAAGGACAAAAACCACATGATCATATCTGTGATTTGCAGCTGCCAAAAATGGATTCCCAATAATCCCCACCTCCTAGTGTTCACACCTTTGTATGATTCTTTCCCTCTTCGGAGTTCACCCAGACTAGTGATTGGTTTCTAACAATAGTCTGTAACGAAAGAGGTTGTATGTCACTTAGAGGTTAGGTTACAGAACGATTCTGATCTGCTCAGCTTTCTCAGGGCTCTGGCTGTCAAAGAAGTAAGCTGTCCCATTAACTGCCTGTAGATATGCCCACATGGCTAAAAACTGATGTCTGGAGCCAATAGCCAGCAAGGAACTAAAACCTATCAAAAGCTGCTGGTCAGCTTGTAATAGGATCTTGTGAAGTCCGCCAGCAATCATCCCAGTAAGCTTGGAAAAGGGTGTGAACCCAATTAAGCTTTGCAGTGGTTGCAGGACCCTGGACCATGCGCGTGGGTACTGCCTGTGTTCCTGACGCACAGAAGTGAGGTGGTAAATATTTGCTCTAAGCTGATTACTGTGGATAATTTGTTATGCAACAGTAAGTAACACAAAGGAATGTTTAAAGAACATTCCTGGAAAACAATTTAAAAATAAGCATAGGGACAGGGTTTTGTGTTTGTTTGTTTGTTTATAGATTTTATTGTCTTTTTATCGGAAAGTCAGCTATACAGAGAAGACAGAGGAAGATCTTCCATCCAGTGATTCATTCCCCAGGTGGCTGCAACAGCCGGATCTGTGCCAATCTGAAGCCAGGATTCCAGAGCCTCTTCCAGGTCTCCCAAGTGGGTGCAGGGTCTCAAGGCTTTGGGCCGTCTTCAACTACCTTCCCAATCCACAGGCAGATAGCTGGATGTGAAATAGGGCTGCCGAGATTAGAACTGGCGCTCAATGGGATACCTGGTGTGTTCAAGCTGAGGATTCTAGCCACCAGGCCATCACACCTGACCCAGGAACATGGATTTTAACTTAGCATTTAAGATATTTTATCTCAGGCTCAGTGCATTAGCTCAATGACTAAATCCTTGCTGTTACCCAGCTAAAGACCTGGAAGAAGCTCCTGGATCCTGGCTTCAGCATGGCCCAGCCCTGCGTCACCTGGGGTGTGAAAGTGTGAACTCCCTTTCTGTATCTCCCTCCCTCTCTGTAAATCTAACAATCAAATACATCAAGATATCTTTTAAAATGAATTAATTCAGGCCTGGCACAGTAGCCTAATTAGTGACATAAGTCTTCGCTTTGCACGCCCGCCGGGATCCCATATGGGTACCAGTTTGTGTCCTGGCAGCCCTGCTTCCCATCCAGCTCCCTACTTGTGGCTAGGAAAGAAGTTGAGGACGGCCCAAAGCCTTGGGTTCCTGCACCCACGTGGGAAACCTGGAAGAAGCTCTGGGCTCCTAGCTTCAGATCAGCTAGCTTCAGATCAGCTAGCTCCAGCCATTGCAGCCGCTTGGGAAGTAAACCAGTACACAAAAGATCTTTCTCTCTGTATCTCCTTCTCTCAGTATATCTGACTTCCCAATAAAAATAAATAAATCTTTAAAAACAAATACTCTTGGTGTCAGTGTGTGGTGTAATTAAGTAAAGCTATGACCTGCAGCACTGGCATCCCACATGGATACCAAATTCATGTTCCATTTACTCCACTTTTAATCCAGCTCCTTGCTAATGTGCTGGAAAAAGTAACAGATGAACGCCCAAATGTTTGGGCCTCTGCCACATTGGGAGACCTGAAGAAGCTCCTGGCTCCTGCCTTTTGCCTGGCCTGCTTCAGGCCATGGTGGCCATCTTGGCAGTGAACCAGGAGATGGAACATCTGCATCTTTTTGTCTGTAACTCTTCCTAATAAATAAAGAAGTATTTTTTTTAATTACTAATTTGTACCTTAATTAGAACAAATTCACTTGAGAGAGACAGTTTGCATTTATGAAGCAATTGGAGAAAATTTAACATGGAGTAGGTATATGAGTGATATTAAAAAGTATTTATTAAAATATGTATTGAAGTACTTTCCGGTATGTTATTGTGCCTGGGATTTCCATTAAAACAGTGGAACAAAAGAGAGAAGGTTATAGGTAAAAATTAAAATAACAGAATATTCATAGGTGTTGAAGTTGGTACATGTGGCTTCTCTGTTATTCCCTCTTGTGTATATTTGAAATTTTCTGTGATGAGTTAAAAAAGTTAAACTGAGTAGTATCCTGATGTTAACTATTAGTGTTCACAGATGTAATCGGGCACCATCTTCTCTCCCTCCTTGCACAAAGTCCTAGGATTTGTAACTGCTCTGGGTAGGGGGCAGGGAGATGAGGGTATGGGAATTCTTATATATATGCACATTCTTAATACAACTGCTGTGTGATATACGAAGTGTTATGCTCTTATCTTTTTTATTATTTTCTCTTTCTGTTTTTCAGGACATGTACTAGCCTTAGCAAGTTCTGTTCAAAACTCAGGCACCTAGACTTGGCTTCCTGTACATCAATCACAAACATGTCTCTAAAAGCACTAAGGTAAATGTCTTACCATTAGCATTATACTATTAATCATAACAAATGCATTCCTTAAAAATGGTAGAAAGTTGCACTTGAAATAATTTAATTGCTATGAATATATTCTTTAGTTCAGAATAGATTTTACCAGTTTTTTTGAAGAAAAAAAAAAGCAACAGGCTTGGGTCAGGTGTTGTGCAGGTCAGGCTGCCTGCTGGGATGCCCACAGGGTGAAGTGTCACCTCCACTTGCAGTCCAGCCTGCTGCTAATGCACATCGTGGGAGGTGGCAGGTTGTATCAAAGAGGTGAAGATAGATCAGTAAATTTTTTTCCATTTTTGATTACATTTTTGATAATCTTTACATAGTTAATTAGTGTAAAAAGGTTCAAGGGCTACAGGGAAGTGGGTAAGACTATTATTTCCACATTGTTTCCTCATGTATCTGAGGTAAAGGGGGATATTAAGGGAGAAGCAGATCAGTAAATGTTAAAATAAAGTAACAGTTCACTTTAATGCAAAACTGATCAGTTAGTTAGATTTTTATGTGATTATAGTCAACCCTGTCACCAGTATTCAAAGTGCTTAGTAACAAACATGGTACTTAATTAGAAACGAATCTTCTTAATTGCAAATATAGTAATGTCTAATTTCTCATTTTTAACTTTCTTATTCTCATCAGTCAAAATTCATAGTGAACCCACTTTTTATACTTTGTTTTTATTGGAATTTTAAATATAAAAGTGAGACATAGTTATAAAAAATAAATGAATAAACTTTTACAAGATTAAAAAAAGAAAACAGTAACAGTTCCATGTGGTTTAGCCTCATCTGTGTGTATGTTGTACCAGGAAGCCTATATGACCGTGGTAAGCATCATCCCAGCATTGAGTTCCCTGTAGGAAGGATTGTAGCAAGAGAACTTCCCTGGTGCCAGACTGTAAAGAATGAGAAAGATTGAGATTCATCCTCGGTCCAATCTGATAAGATTTGAAGGGATCACAGATGAAGCTAACTTTTTAAAAAATTTATTTACTTTTATTGCAAAGTCAGATATACAGAGAGGAGGAGAGATGGAAAAGAAGATCTTCCATCCAATGAATCACTCCCCAAGTGACTGCCAAAGCTGGTACTGCGCTGATCTGAAGCCAGGAGCCAGGAACTGGTTCCGGGTCTCCCACACGGGTGCAGGGTCCCAAGGCTTTGGGCTGCTCAGGCCTGGTGGAATAGCCTACTGGCTAAATCTTTGCCTTGCATCTGCTGGGATCCCTTATGGATGCTGGTTCATATGCTGGCTGCTGAAGTCCTCACCTTGCATGCACCAGGATCCCATACGGACGCCAGTCATGTCCTGGTAGCTCCACTTCCCATCCAACTCTCTGCTTGTGTCCAGGGAATGCAGTAGAGGATGGCTCAAAATCTTGGGACCCTGCACCCACATGAAAGACCTGGAAGTAGCACCTGGCTCCTGGCTTCAGATCGGCTCAGCTCTTGCTTATGTGGCCACTTGGGGAGTGAATCAGTGGATGAAAATCATCCTGTTTCTGCTCCTCTCTGTATACCTGCCTTTCCAATAAAAATAAATCTTAAAAAAAAAAATGTAGATTGGCGTTCATTTGGGGAGTGAATCATTGGACGGAAGATCTTCCTCTCTGTATATCTGACTTACCAATAAATAAATAAATCTTAAAAATAAATGTAGATTGAAGATTTGAGAGGACTTTGCCCGTGAGATAGTCCCATGTGCACATCACAGCATTCAAACCCCTCCACCCTTTTCGTTCGTTTGGTAGGTGGATACCTATTTTCCAAAAGCTACATTAAGTAAAAGCATACATTATTCCATTAGACAGTGGGAGCTTATTCATTCTTTAACTAAATAACCAAAAATATTTTTCTGATTTTGTTTTATCCTAAGCGAGGGGTGTCCGCTGTTGGAGCAGTTGAACATTTCCTGGTGTGACCAAGTAACCAAGGATGGCATTCAAGCGCTAGTGAGAGGCTGCGGGGGTCTCAAGGCCTTGTTCCTGAAAGGCTGCACACAGGTAATGCTCCAGGGTCCCTGGGGAAGTCAGGAACGCCAGGTGTTTCCCCGATCAGAGATGCATGCCTACCCAAACTTGAGGTGTTTTCCTTAGAAGAAAAGAGCCTCTGAGAAGAGTTAACCTCTGACCAAAGGTCACCTTGTTCTAACAGGGGCAGCAGAATAGAGGGGTAAGATTACACTGGAAGAGCACTTGTGTGAGAAGGATTTTGTAGAGTTTATGATGAAAATAAAACTTGCCAGGGCCCGGCACAACAGCTCACTGGCTAAATCCGCACCTTGCATGTGCCAGGATCCCATATGGGCACCGATTCGTGTCCCAGATGCTCCGCTTCCCATCCAGCTGCATGCCTGTAGCCTGGGAAAGCAGTTGAGGATGACCCAAAGCTTTAGGACCCTGCAGCCACGTGGGAGACATGGAGAAGTCTAGATCAGCTCACCTTCAGCCATTACATCCATTTAGGAGTGGACCAGCAGATGAACAATCTGTCTCTCTTTTCCCTTGTAATTTTGCCTTTCACATAAAAATTTTTAAAATGAATCTTAGGAAAAAAAAGAATAAATTTAAGGGTTGGGCATTTAGCACTATTGTTAAGCCACTCCTGGGAGGCCCCACATTCCCGTATTGGGGTTGCTGGGCAAGTGAGCAGTACATGGAATCTCTGTTTGTATCTATTTCAGATTCTAAAAATGTGACTGGCTAAATGAGATCAGCCTCTTCCTTATTTTTAAGATAATATGTTTTAATTCCAAAAATGTTTTTAAAAGATTTATTTATTTTTTATTACAAAGTCAGATATACAGAGAGGAAGATCTTCCGTCCAATGATTCAGTCCTCAAGTGAGCGCAACGGCCGGTACTGTGTCAATTGGTGCTGTGACAATCTGGAGCCAGGAGCCAGGAACTCCTTTCCGGGTCTCCCTCGTGGGTGCAGGGTCCTAAGGCTCCTTGACTGCTTTCCCAGGCCACAAGCAGGGAGCTGGATGGGCAGTGGGAGCTGCCGGGATTAGAACTGACACCCATATGGGATCTGGCCCCTTCAAGGCGAGGACTTTTGCTGGTAGGCTACAGCGCCGGGCCCTCTTTTTTTGTTTTTTTGAACTGAAAAGCAAGGAGAGATTGTCTTCCCACCGGTTCACACCACTAATGCCTGCATGGCAGATTAGAGCCCCAGAGTTCAGAGTGAGTCTCTCATGTATATGTCAGGAACCTAAGCTCTTGAACTGTCATTTGTCTTCCTTGCTGCAATTGGCAGTGGAGCTTGGCCCCAGACCCAGTTGCTCCTGTTACAGAACGCTGGCATCTCAAATGGCGTGCTCATTGCCGCGTCCAACACCTGCCTCTTAATTACTGATACCTTAGATTCCATTTAAAGTGTCCGCATTCCTGTGTCTTTATGGAAGAAGTTCTCCCATTGCTTCGAATATAGGGCTGCCTTAAAATAACAGCTTGAGTTTTCTGGTTATTTTGGGAATTCTGAAAGATACTGATGTGACTGTTATCATTATAATCAGTGACTTCCAGCTGTTCTTGGAAACATGGCACTGAACTTCCAGCAGCAGATAGATGCTGAAGGTTCTTTTTAAACTCTTTCTCTCGAATACTTGTTTATAAAAAGCTTTGGAAGGGTAGGGTTGTGGCATTACAAGTTAAGCCGCCACCTGCAGTGCCGCCATCCCATATGGTCTTTGGTTCCTATCTCAGCTGTTCCACCTCTGTTCTAGTACCTGCTCGTGTACCTGGGAAAAGACTAGAAGCTGGCCCAAGTGCTCGGCCCCTTTACGCTCACATAGGAGACCCTGATTGAATTCCTGGTGCCTAGCTTCAGCCAACGCCAGCTCTGACTGTTACAGCCATGTAGGGAATAAATCGATGCATGGTAGATAGGTCTGTCTCTCCTTCTCTGTAACTCAGACTTTCAAATAAATACTTCTTTAAAAAAAGCTTTATGGGGCCCGGCACGATGGCCTAGTGCCTAAAGTCCTCGCTTTCAACGACCAGGATCCCATATGGCACCAGTTCTAATCCCAGCAGCTCCACTTCCTCTCCAGCTTCCTGCTTGTGGCCTGGGAAAGCAGTTGAGGACAGCCCAAAGCTTTGGGACCCTGCACCCATATGGGAGACCTGGAAGAAGCTCCTGGCTCTGGATTGGCTCAGCTCCAGCCTTTGCAGCCACTTGGGAAGTGAATCATCAGATTGAAGATCTTCCTCTCTGTCTCTCCTCCTCTCTGTATATCTGACTTTCCAATAAAAATAAATAAATCTTTAAAAAAAAAAAAGAGCTTTATGAAGGTACCAAAGCATAAAAATTGTTTCATCATCCCATAGCAAAATACTGTGAGGTGAATTAATTTGTTAAATATAAAATTCATAAATCCTAGGCAGTGTTTCTTTTCCCCAATTTGAACTTGAAATGAACTTAATATTGCTGAAACTATTAATTTAAAAAATTACCAATAACCCAACATCAGGCTATTGCTAGTCTGAACTGGATTTGGTCAGAACTGCTGAAGACAACAAGATAGCACCTACCCCACTAATACTAGGAACCATTTTCTTATTGTGGACATAGTTCATTATTCCTTTAAAACTTTGTTAACTGCGTTTATAATATGTTGGTGGACGTGAATGTTCTTAAATCTTTCTCCTTTGAAACAAAATTGATAATCATTTTTTCTCTTTAAAATTATTCTAGCTAGAAGATGAAGCTTTGAAGTACATAGGTGCACACTGTCCTGAGCTGGTGACTTTGAACTTGCAGACTTGCCTGGTGAGCACCTCTTCCCAGTTTCTGTAATGTTGTCGTTAACAGCTCATTCATTGAGGCCAGTGATCTTTCCACTACAACCCAGCAGGCACACGTTGACTTGCTGCATACTTGAGAGGACAGCCTTTGCAGAATTTAAGATCCGCCAACAGAAACTCCACACCCTTCCTGGCTACCTAAGAAAACTGATTTTTTAAAAATACATTATTTACAAAGATTAACATTTAAAACTGCACTTGTACTTTGTAACACGTTGAGCTATGCCTGTGCGTCCCGTCTGTGGGGAATCACCGGGCTACAAGATGTCAGGGCATGTACGCTCTTGAAGTGACTTCCCATAGTGTTTCTATTTAATGTTTCAGCTGGTTCAGGCCTTCAGCTTTCTTGTGTCTGCCCAAAGGCAGAATTTTACTCAATTTTCTGAAATTATACAGAGGCTTACATCATTGAAACACCTTTAGCTTTCGTTTTATTTGTTTGTTTGTTTGTTTTCTTGAAAATGTGTTGTCTTGGAGTGAAAGCCCCTGCTAGCTAAGAAGCAGTTGGCGAGGGTTTCCTTTGGTCCTGCTGTGATAAGCTTCCTGCTGCTTACACTTTCTCCTGCATGTTGGCTTACTTGGAACTTGACAGCCAAAGGGTATTTGTAAAGTGCCACATTTTGTGCATTTTCAGCAGCCTGTGCTCCCAGCCCTTGAGGGGAAGCGTGGAAGGCTGAGTTGTAAGGGTGCACGTCCTTCCTCCTTTTCTTTTAAGACCATCTCTGCCTGATAATACTCCTTGCCACAGTTACTGGCTGGAATTTCCACAACTGTATGCATGAGATGGAAATGTTTACCTTGAGAAAGTAGGCATAACTTGTAAAAATGAAGTCATCATTTTAGAGTGACAAAAAAAAAAAAAGAAAAACACCTCCCTGGCAGCTTCCAGTGAGACGTGTATGTTTGTGTGCACTATCATATGTGGATGATACATCCACACCGTTTCCAGATTTAGTTTTGTTTCATCTTTGTTTTGTGTTGTTTTTACTGATTTGAAAACAAAAATTGAATTTTAGTATTTTAAAGATGTATTACCAGTATGATTTTCCTTATGGGCATTCTCAGTACTGCCTCATGGGATTTCAAACAGGAAAGGGAAAGGGAGTTGTGCAGTGGTGGGCCCCCAGGCTAGCTGCATCTGCCCCTTTGTAGATCCCTGTGGCTCCCCTTCCCTTGTCGGTAGAATGGCTTGTTTTCAGGTACTGGCCCTGAGCATATAACTCATGTTGTCCTCGTGACAAATCATCTGTCTTCCTTAGTATTTCATTTTATATGGATTTGTTGTGGTTGCATGATCCTGGAAACATGCCAAGCCAAGCAATGGTATTGAACTTGCTTTTTTTGGTTTTCGTTTTTAGTTGTCTTTGAAACTTAAGGATACTGCTTGATTAAACAGAAATTTCACCAGAGCTTTTATTTTAAGCTTGCATAAAGTTAGTGATCTGGCAAATTGGAATGCTGATGTTATCCACCTTCATGATGTTTATGCATTACATCTTTTGTCTAATGCAACATCTCTTTAAGTGTGTGTCCTTGGCTTTAAAAAAAAAAAGATCAAATGATTGGTCCCGGCGCAACAGCTAAAGTCCTCGCCTTGAACGTGCCAGGATCCCATATGGATGCCATTTCTGGTCCTGAAGGCCCCGCTTCCCATCCGTCTCCCTGCTTGTAACCTGGGAAAGCAGTTGAGGACGGCCCAAAGCCTTGGGACCCTGCACCCATATGGGAGACCTGGAAGACGCTCCGGAGTCCTAGTTTTTGATCTGCGCAGCTCCGGCCGTTGTGACCACGGGGGGAGGGGGGTGAATCAACGGATGGAGGATAATAAATAAATAAATCTTAAAAATATGTATCAAGGGTCTGGCGACGTGGCCTAGCGGCTAAAGTCCTCACCTTGAACTCATCAGGATCCCATATGGGCGCCGGTTCTAATCCCAGCAGCTCCACTTCCCATCCAGCTCCCTGATTGTGGCCTGGGAAAGCAGTTGAGGATGACCCAAAGCTTTGGGACCCTGCACCCCTGCGGGATACCCGGAAGAAGCTCCTGGATCCTGGCTTCGGGTCGGCATAGCCATTGCACTCACTTGAGGACTGAATCATCGGACGGAAGATCTTCCTCTCTGTCTCTTCTCCTCTCTGTATATCTGACTTTCCAATAAATAAATAAATCTTTAAAAATATATATGTATCAAATAATTGAAACCATTCTATGCTCCAGCAATGCTGTTCCCTGTCTCACTCAGCTAATATATTCATTTTGCTCTTGTTTTTTAGCAAATCACAGATGAAGGTCTCATCACAATATGCAGAGGGTGCCACAAGCTGCAGTCCCTCTGTGCCTCAGGCTGCTCCAACATCACGGACGCCATCCTGAATGCCCTAGGTCAGAACTGCCCGCGGCTTAGGTAAACGTTTCTTGTTGAGCTGAAAACCCCAGGGATAAGGAACAGAAGCCTATTTCACTTTGGTTTTTTTTGGAACTTTGAAATTTTGAGATAGACACACCCCTTTTAAGTGCCCACTTTCTTGCCTCATGCCTCCCTAGATTGCATGTAATTGACCACAGGAACCAAGGAGTAACGGTCCCCAATACTCTGCATGCTGTCCATCTCAGAAGAAATAAATCAACACTTTATTTCATTATTTGAGGAGGAACTAAAAACATTTTTTTTCTTAATGAGTTTCATATAATTTCTTTCTTAATGTTGTTTTTAAAGACCCATGCTGCTTCAAACCCAAACCTCTGTTTCAAAGAAGCAAAGTTATCTTCTACTCCACCTCCTGTAGGGCTCAGTGTGTGTTAGAATGGAAAGACTCTAAGATGTAATGCTCAAAAGTTGTGCCTCAAGCAGATCACGTTTTCCCTTTAGCTATAACATTGATTTCTAACTGGTGTTCTGTTAATGGTGATTTCTTAGACATTAGTGCTGATTGGTTTTTTCAACTTTAATAGTAATTAATTCATAAGAACACATGTAAATGTTCTTTAATACTATTATATGGAGGTCATCAGGCTTTTCAAAGAAAGAAAATAATGTTTGATTCCTCAGTCCTAGGGTCTGTTTACATTGCCTTGTGGCAGTTGCCCAATAGGAGAGTGACTGCCCACTCAGCCCCTCTCCTCCACCTCCCTGGGAAGAATTCCATAGTTGGGACATGCCTGTATATCTGCCTTTCCAATAAAAAATAAAATAAATCTTTAAAATCTTTAAAAAAAAAAAAGTATCTAAATCTGAGCAAACCTACTTATAACAGAAAGAAAAAAAAATAATTTACTTTAGCAACAGGTTAACTGGAACAGAGCATTTATCTCCATTTCCTTTGTTTTCTAGGAGCAGGCTGCCCTCTGGGGGTAAGCAGTATGTCTTCAAGAGGTTTTTAATGCAATTCATGCATTTTGGCATTAATTACAACTTTCAGTTTTATTCTTCTGTGTTCTTATGGTATTGGCAGGACCATTTTATGATAACTCCATGAAAATAAGTGGCAATATCTATATGCAGAGTTGCTTGAAGCTGTTGACATCACTCTGTATTACAGAGTTCTTATAGAACAGGAGATTATTGTCTTAAATTCTTGCTGTTTTATTAAATGCATTTTTCAAGGTCTATGAGCTTAACTTTCACTTTGTTTTTTGCTGGTCTTTTTTTTTTTTAACAGAATATTAGAAGTGGCAAGATGTTCTCAATTAACAGATGTGGGATTTACCACTCTGGCTAGGGTGAGTATTTTCTTCAGGTGTCATAGGTGTTGTTTGGAACTTTTATTTAAGAAGAATAAGCAGCAGCAAGCATGTAGAGTGACAGTAGAATTGGGGATGTGAGAGTCAGGCAGTGCTCTGCAGCTGGTGTTCCTGGACATCCTGGTGTTACAGCCAAAGATGCCCGGTGCCCAGAGGAGCTCGGGCTGCTCTGGGAAAGCGGACACATGCTGCAGAACCTGGCCATCACTCGAAACTGTGGCTGAAGACTCAGTCAGCCTCTGCAAACCAGGGATACTGATGGAGAGGGAAGCCAAGTAGAGATGTCCTTGTGCGTGTTTGTGGGGCATGTCGCTGGTGGAAGCGGACACTATTGAGGGGAAACTGTGAGTCAGCTTTTAAATGGAGACATTTAAGAGATTTTCTATATTCTCCTGACACTTGGATGGAATGGTTTCTAAATCACAAAATAACAGTACCATGTAAAATTACACTGACCTTGACTGTTACAGAACAGAGGGAATGTCATTTGCTTTCAGCTATTTGTTATTCACTGCGTGGAGACCAATCAGGAGATAACTCTTGCTTGTCTCCCTTCCAAAGAAGCAATTTTCATTGTTTATGGTTGATAAGACCTCTGCTAGCCCAGTATTACTATTCAGCGAATTCAGTCCCTTGACTACTTCAATGTGGAATAACTGAGAAATTTCACTATAATCAAATCCTTCTGACATGGTATCAGTGGCACAAGACAGAAGGTGAAACAAGAGTGACTGCAGCTCTGAAACACTAAGATTGCCTCTGTTATCCTTCATACTATCTCTTACTACCTCTTAGTTTTCTGACTCTGAAGCTTCCCCATGTTTTAAATGTTGCAATGTTTGGAATGTCTTTGTAGAATTGTCATGAGCTTGAAAAGATGGACTTGGAAGAGTGTGTTCAGGTAAGATTGTATTTTTTTTAAAAATTCACAAATATAGTATAATGGAAAGCTGTGTTATATGCGCACATCAGAATGCTCACCTCCCTACCCTAGAGTAGGATGCTGGTGCCTGGCAGCACTGCTGAGTGTCCAGCCTTACCAGGTCCAGGCGCACGTGGTGAAGCACTGAGAAAATACACGCCATTAGAGAGAAAGGATGCCCAAGCATTCAGACCATGAGTCTGACTTCAGAGAGATCCTAAAAAAGCCTGATCTGAGCGCTATCCTTTTGCTGTGTCACAGGACCCTGGGTCCTTCAGATAAGCAGCCCTGGAAATCTGACTGGGTCATACTTTTAGCCTTGACCTCCTCATGAACAATTTCTTACCAGCATAAGAGCTTTGGAATTGCTAATGAACTGAGGAGAAACTTTGAAAGGGACATTCCAAAAACAATAGAGAACAATTAGTTTTTTTTTAATGGTAAAAGAAAAGATAGTTACAAGTATAAAAGGATCAGCTTTAAAAATCACTTACTGTCCAAACATAACTTGGCAGGCACTAATTCTTGCTAAACTGAAACTTGTTCATGTCAGTGTATCTGTTGGGCGTGCCTGGCATCCACCTCCTTTCTCCACCACGTCTTAGCCCCTCTGATGCTGTATGTAGTAAAAAACAATCATCACTCAGAGTTGGAAAGGAATGTGAAAACAAGCACTGATTTGCTTTCATCGGATTACTAGACTGTCCTTCCTGGCTGCATGATCATAATTAAACCAAGTTCCAGCATCCTATTTAGTTGAGTAACCAGGACCCAGGTTATCAATCCTAAGTTGTGGCAAGCCTTATGAAAAATAGGCCAAATGTCTAAAATTCAGGGATGATTTTCCCTTATTTCCACCCCAGTGGAGCAGCATGTTCTCATTCTTTTCTGTGATGATTCTTTTTTTTTTTTTTTTTTTTAAGATTTATTTATTTATTTTTATTACGAAGTCAGATATACAGAGAGGAGAGACAGAGAGGAAGATCTTCCATGCGATGATTCACTCCCCAAGTGACCACAACGGCTGGTGCTGTGCTGACCCAAAGCCAGGATCCAGGAACTTCTTCCGGGTATCCCGCAGGGGTGCAGGGTCCCAAAGCTTTGGGTCATCCTCAACTGCTTTCCCAGGCCACAAGCAGGGAGTTGGAAGGGAAGTGGAGCTGCTGGGATTAGAACCGGCGCCCATATGGGATCCTGATGAGTTCAAGGAAAGGACTTTAGCCACTAGGCCACGTCGCCAGGCCCTCTGTGAAACTAAGTCCATTCCAGTGGGTGGAACTTCAAAAGCAAAAGGTTTTTTGAGGGGAGGGAGGGGGAGGCCGAATTGTTGACAAAGCTTTCCAAAGATTAGAGGCGATTATTTGTGTTCAAACCCAGTCTGGTGGGTTTGATAGCACAAGTTCAGATAGTACATGATATTTAAACTTAAAGATTATGTAATCTGTTAATAGATGAACTGAATTCTGGACTGAAAGTGTTGTCAACAATGAGGCACAGCCCATGGTTTTATTTGGAATTATACCTAAAGTACACTTACATGTTTCTTTCAGATAACAGATAGCACATTAATCCAACTTTCCATACACTGTCCTCGACTTCAAGTATTGGTGAGTTTGACTTTCAGAATTTGATGTTTGTGGGATTCAATCAAAATCCAATTCTGTAGTTCCAGTTGAGTTGTAAGAATCCAGCTCTTCCTTTCCTTCTTCTGATTGCCCCATTGGGAAAAGAATGCTTCTCCAGATCTTCAGGCCATAGAGCATCAAGTTGGGCCTGAGTGAAGGGGGAAACTGGAAGAAACTCTAAAAGCTGGATGTTTCCAATATGCCTGCCTGGAGGCTGTAAACGGAGCTGGAGAATGCGAGTTCTCTGTCCGAAGTGGCTAGTCTGAAGAATGGTGAGATTTCCACAGATCCAGGGTGATGAAATGGCCCATAATATGATGTGCTGCAAATTGGAACTCAGTGTTTTCTCTCTCTCTCTTTCTCTCTCTCTCTCTCTTTCAGTTTATTTATTTATTTGAAAGGCATAGGAAAAGATTTTTCTTCTTCTGATTTCTTTCCAGATGCCTGTGATAGTCAGATTGTGCCAGACTTAAAGCCAGGAGATAGGAACTATTTCCAGGTATCCCATGTGGGTGCAGGCATTCAAGGATTTGAGCCATCCTCCACTGCTTTCCCAGACACATGAGCAGGGAACTGGATGGGAAGTGGAGCAGCTGGAACTCAGCTGGCACTCTGATATGGGATGCTGGCATCCATGCAGCAGCTTCAGCCTGCTGTGCCCATAATACCTGCCCCCAGATGTGCTTATGAAACAGAACTGGACAAGGCCTTCCCAGGGGACTTCTTACTGCTACCCTCACCGACACTACCGAAAGACATTCTGTATCCAGGCTGATTGTCAGTATGTTTGCTAGCATGGTACTGTCTAAATTTGCCTCAAGGATTCTGAGTTTTCCAGAACCAGGGGTTTAAGGAAAATTGCTGAAGGGATCATGTGGAGGGAATAATCACACATAATATTTGCAAAGATCATCTTCAGTTGATTGCTAGGACCTGTCCCTGCACCATATAACCAATCTTTAGTACAAATTCTGGAACATCTTTTTTTTTAATCATAATAAATTTATTTCTGATGATGTTTGCATAGTTAAGGATGCATGCCCATGTAGACCACTGATAAGGATGGGAAGGGTAAAGAAATGGAAGAAAGTGGGTGAGACAATGGTTTCCAATATCCTTTTTTACATGTATCTGGGGAAAAATTAGGGACAGCCATGCAGTTATCATCCCAGGGTCCCCAGTGTTAAGCATATTCTAAAGGCACTACTAAAGTGGTTCTCATAGTTCTGAGATGCTGTTGATTTTGTTGCTCCAAAAATGAAGAAATCCTTCTTAGGTCCATTGGCTGACATAGTCAGCCTTAGAGGCTCAGTTTACTTGCTGTCAAAGCTTAACCAGGGGAGCTGTCCAATTTGTTCTTCCCTCCATGATACTAGATGTTCTCTGCAGGCCTCAGTGAACTGGTTGTCATGTCCCTCATGTTCATCTGGGCATGCTGTCCATTGCATAGGCTTCAACAACCAAGGAGACCCAATTCTGCCATAGGCACTCCACAGTCAGACCACAGATCCTGTAATTTCCCTTGTAGATGGAATTTTGAGTCCAGTGGTCCATACCCTGCGTGACAGCATGCCATGTCTGCCACTCCCCCCCACACACACACACATCTTTTTTTAAAAGGAAGCTCTATTGGCACATTGGTATAGTTAACACAAATTTGACATTAACCAGACCCAGAATGCCTGCTGGCTATTAGCTGCTTTTCTCCAAGCAGTATAACACTTGCCTAGATACACTCAACCTAAGGCAGTTGGCTATAGCTGGGGTCTGGAACACCTTTTTACATTAAATGTTTGAGAGACAGAAATAGGCCAAGAGAGTGAGCTCCATTTCACTCCTCAAATGCCCACAGTCTGTGGGGCCTGAGTTAGTAGAGCCAAGAGCCACTAAACAGAAACACAATTGATGTGGATGGCAGCAGCTCTTCCTGAGCCTCCCAAGGACTGTGTCAGTGCAAAGCTGGAGTGAGGAACACAAGCCAGGAATCAAGCCCAGGCACTCTGTTGTGAAATAGCATGTGTAGACCTCCTAACTGCTAGGCTTACCACCCCCAAAATGCCAGGATATCTTTTATGTGAAAAGCTTTATTCCGTCTTTTGGAGAGCAGAATTCTTTATTTGGGAAAACATGACGTCATGGCTGTCTTACATGTCTGTGGACTTAGTCATTACATGAATTCATAAAATGTAATTAGAATCATTCACAGAGGTATTCTGTTGATTACCAAAAGCAAAATGCCAACAATTCTGACTTACTTATGCTTCACCATATGAATCTAGTACTGGCTCCATGTTCATTAACGCCACACCGGAGACCCTAGCTGGAGAAATGCCAAAAGATAATTCAACATCTTTCCTTGTTCTGCTTGGCTAGAGTCTGTCTCACTGTGAGCTGATCACAGATGACGGGATCCGTCACCTGGGGAACGGAGCCTGCGCCCATGACCAGCTGGAGGTGATCGAGCTGGACAACTGCCCACTGATCACAGACGCATCCCTGGAGCACTTGAAGAGCTGTCATAGCCTCGAGCGGATAGAACTCTATGACTGCCAGCAGATTACCCGAGCTGGGATCAAGAGACTGAGGGTAAAGATGGCCGCACCACTCCCCAGCTCTCTCCCATGTTCTCAGCATCCATTCTTCTCTTCCTTCCTTTCTTTTTTTTTCCCCCCAGATTTAGATTCCTGTGATTTTGGTGTTTTGCTGTTTACTTGGACACTTAGCAAGGAAAAGAAAAGGGAGAGCCTTCCTAATCTGTCAGTCCAGATGGAAATGTAGTCAGAATGTACCCACTGAGGGGGGAAAAGTAGGCCTCCCCCCGCAGAGCTTCCTAGTCATACCCAGTCAGCAACAACAAACACACATTCGGAGTTTGGTTCCAAAAGAAAGAAACAAAACAAAATATTTGGTGAAATGGTATTTAAGAGTTTAATTTTTTTTCTTTTCACATAAAACCCTCTGACTGAGGCTTCTTATTTTTTCTGAGTGCTTTTTTTTTTTAGACTTATTTTTATTGGAAAGGCAGATTTACAAAGAGAAGGAGATGCAGAGAAAAATTTTTATCCACTGGTTCACTCGCCAGATGGCCTCAACGGCCAGAGCTGAGCTGATCTAAACCAGAGAGCCAGAAGCCAGGAGCTTCTTCCAGTTCTCCCACATGGGTATGGGGTCCTAAGGATTTGAGCCAGCCTCTGCCCTGCCCTCATGTCCATTCGCCACTTGACACTTGTTCTGAGAAGCAGAATTGTTCTTTTTCTGTTTAAGTCCACTCTCTTAGTAATGTTTCTGTCTTGTTTCAGACCCATTTACCCAATATCAAAGTCCACGCCTACTTTGCACCAGTCACCCCACCCCCATCAGTAGGGGGCAGCAGACAGCGCTTCTGCAGATGCTGCATCATCCTATGACAATGGAGGTGGTAAACCTTGCTGAACTGAGTATTTAATGACACTTCTAGAGTACCGTGAAGTCTCTCCAGTGGAAGCACCCCCGAGTGGGGGCAAGGATTTCACAATGAGGGAAGGCAATGTCCAGATCCCCAGAGCCACACAGACATATGCCTACAAACCCTCATCCATCCACTCAAGCTCGGTAACCGTGGGACTGCTGTTCTTGTTGGCTTTATCAAATGGCTTGGTAAACCTGAACCATTCCGGTTGTATGTGCCCAGAAGAAAACCACAGTCCAAGGTAGATGGAGGGAGCATTCCAGCAAACCCAGTGTTCCTGCTACTGGGGTTTCTTTTTTTGCTAAGGGGTCTCTTTGGGGATTTTTGGAATGGCAACTGCAGTCCTCCAGGGTCAAGAAAGCATGGAAAACAGTATATGATGTATGCAGGGACCAGCAAGAAAATTTCTTTGCATCTTAGAAATGGTGGCCATCCGTTGTGAGATGACCACAGGGCTTCTGTGCTTCCTTGTTTCCATGCCAACATGCTGAGCATGCTCACAGAGAAGGCTTGTCCATTCCTCCTGTGTTGTAGTATTTGGCCCTGAGGTTTCCTGATAGTTTCATTGGAATCACTGTGGTCTAACAGTGATTTCTGATTCACTCAGCTGTCACTATCTGTAGCACACTTGAGCATCTGTCTTCCATCCTCTCTTGCTCCCTCCCACACTCTGGCTTAGTCGTGTCACCTGTTCATAGTCTCCTAACTCACACTCAATTGTTACTCTTCTGCTGTTGTGTTTACAGTTTGCATTTTGGATGATTAGTTGGGATTACCAAACATTTTTAAAAAACACATTATCAATAAATATTTTTTTAATTCTAAATTTTACCATTAGGGGACCGGCCTGAATCTTTGCCAATCTGCAAGAAAACTATTTTAAAAAGAAAAAGTTATGAAAGCAAATTGAGCAAACTCTATTTTGATAAAAAAAAAAAATGAACCTTTACCTATTGATTTCTCTATCTTATGACGAATGGAAATTTGCATGATATACCCAGTACCGCTGCACTTTTTTCCTTCTATCAAGTCTGTTGACTTACTTAGGAAAGGGAGAGATGCATTATTAATGGAGAGTGAAATGACAGACTCTCTTACACTGAACCTGAAAGTCCCTACTAGCTGAGATGAGACACTAATGGTTCACTAGAGCTTGGTGTGCTTGGTGTCTTGTGTGACTTTGACGTAGCAGGAATGCTGTAGGAGGGGCTGTCCTACCTAGCCACTTAGTTTTACTTTTTAATTCCCCCTTTCAGCCTGTCAGGGAACCAAGAATGGCCCTAAAACAGCTGGTTGCTGTATGTCAGTATTAACCTTACCTAATGGTCAACCATGTCACTCTTCTGAATGGGACAGGAGAGCAGCCAGGCCAAGGCAGCAGGGCAGCCCAAAAAGAACCTCAGCAGGAAGTAGGAGATGCGTGTGCAGCACAGCCTGGGCACCTGGCACCCGAGCTGAAAGAAGAGGGCCAGCACTCTCAACTCCAAGCCCAAGTCAGTGCCCTTTGCTAAAGTAAATCAGTAAATCCTAGAGGATAAGAGAAACATGTTTCTAAAGCACAAATTCCTGCACCCCAATGTTTGAAAACCCTGTGTGGTTTTTAATAATATGACGGAGGAGGGGAGAGTCTTCTGTTAACTTTGTGCAGTCCACCAAGTAATCTTACAGCATCTTGTGCTGCTTTATAAGCCAGACTGTTAAAGGACGTGTCTCAGTGCTGTGGGTGCCGATTCTACCAGCGCTTGGAAAAGTCAAGTCTGATTGACTTCTCCATTGATTCAGAAAGCCATCAATTGAAAGGATTCTAGAAGTTTGTACTGGTCATCATTAACATATGAAACCATCCTTTATTCTTTCCCCTTAAAGCTCACATTTTACCTTTTAAAAGGGATGCGCTTCTATCAATTAAGGCTCACACTCTTGGCTACACCCACACATACAAATAGCATATACAATTCCAGATGTGGTTTAATGATGTTAAGATCCCCATTCATTTGTTCAAGCAAAACTAAAAAATATTTAGGGACCATCTGTTCTGTTTTTAATTTTTAGTGCCTGAACAAACTGACCATAAAACGTTACTGAGTGTAGATTTGAATCGCCCAGGTTGAGGCTGTTAAGATGGTTTAATTAAAAGATAAATTTAGGGGCCCCATTTGCCGATCCCTGAAAAGCATTAAATGTTTCCCTATTTGAAGGGCATCCCCACATAGAGGTCCATGTGCATTTGCTCTGGTGATCCCTGCTGTTAAGTAAGTCCCTACCTATCTGGATGAAGAACAGAATCAGGTGAGGTAGCACAAAGTTCCAGGGCTGTGTAGCATTGACTAGTCTGAGGTCTTGTTCCTTCTCTAAAAAAAAAAAAAAACCAGCTCCAGGCCCCATTACACTTGGAAGAAACTCTTGAACCTACACCATAATGTGAATATGCTAGAACTTTTGAGAGCACAGAATATGGTAAGTTCTGGGCAGAGTCCTGACATCTGAACATTGGATGCCTTCTGTCTTAACAATTGGTATGCTTTTGAAAATTCAGTAAGACTTAAGTGTAGGAAAAATCCTTAGGCAAAGCCTATTGGCCCATTTGTCTGACATCATAGTCACTCTATAATGGGGGGGCGGGGGGAGTGAAGGAGGAGAGACATGGAGTAAGGAAGAAGGGACCCTGAGAGCTACTTGCACAAATTCACAGATTGCCAGGAGGAGGTATTAGAGCATCTGGGGAAAGTTCTTGGACGTCTGTATCATCTCTTGTCTCAGCAACATTTCCCTTCCTCTCATTCATTGGATTCTCAAGAATTGTTTGCTTCATTGACATCTTCTGCATCCTTGCCATTGAACCCATTTAGGAGATTTCACCTTTTTCCCCACTGCAGCAATTGCCACCATTTCCTCCACACACCCATCTTTGCCCTCTATTTAAAGCCCTCCGTCTCACTCCAAACAATGCTGCTGATTTTGTTTTTTGTTTTTTGGGTTTTTTTTCTAGCATTTCTTTGGGCCTTTGTCATCAAAGCAAGTTATTGTGGGCAGCCTTGAACTTAGTTTCACTTTCAGGTGACTTGAGTCATTTTTCACCTGATGCTTGCCTGCTGAATCTGAGTATAAAATCCAACAATTGGGGAAGAGGGCCCAGCTTCCACCTTTTCCCCCAGCATTGGGTGTGTGAAAGCATGTAATACCTCATGTAAGAAATGCTTCCCTGCCCTGCTCCCACCTTGACTGGATATAAATCTCATCCTTAAGTGGATTTTGTACCTTTCCTGTCCAATTTCCATATCCATCAAGTTCGCATAGTGAACATGTAAGAAATTTCACACATCCTGAAAAAACCTGGAAAATAATTTCATAATCTTTTATTTGGGGCTTTTCAGATTATTTGAACAGTGTTACCAGAATACTACTATGGTTGAGCACTTGTCCCAATCAGCTTGTAAAATATGGGGTAACTGTTTTCAGTGGTTCACTAATGCCATGGAAGACCACACAAAGCAGGTGGTGAGACCTCCCCTGGGTGAGGCTGTTGGGAAGCGAGAAAGTGTCCCCAGGAAGAAAAGGGTAGCTGCCTGCCTGCCCTTCTGGGCAGCATATCCTCGGGGAGAAGAGCTGACCCTGGGCCACTTCATGTTTATTTTACCAGAAGTCAGCCTCCCTGCCAGTTGCCAGTGAGAAGAGCTCAAAGGTAGACACTTTATTCTGCCTTTCCTCTCCTGTGTGCACGATTCAAGGGCAAGTTCTAAAAGATTTCCTCATCTCTCTACCCACCAGTTCTAGAATCTCTAACCACCTCAAATCCAGGCCAAGTGTGGTTTACAAAAAGGTATTGGAGGCCTTGAGGCAAAAACTTATACCTGCCCGCTACTGACACCCCACTACAATGATCTTGAACCAAAGAATTCAATAGAAGGATCATTGGAAATGAAGAGTCCTGGCACTATCTCAGCTTTATTTCTGTCAAATCTCAGTTGTCAGATTGGAAGGTACATGAGGCATATCAGTGTTGTGTCCCTTCCTGAAGCCTTTGTCACATTAACAGAGTTGGTATGTAACCTCTCTCAGCTGAGTCTGAGTGCATCTTAGGAGCCTAAGATAAGAGACTTAGGTGTACTTTAACAGGAAGGAACAAATTGTGTGCATACGCACTTGCTGTGTCCCCACCTTACATGATTTTTTGAGCCAATCCTTGGAGAGTCCACTTAGCCAGGGTGGGAATTGCCCTTCTAGGAAGGACTGAGCCAGTGGAACCAAATCATAGCCTTTTAAAATTCTGCATGTTTTCTCGTGTCTTGTGTTGAAGACATGAGAACAATGGGAGATGAGGTTCAAAGTAGAGAATTGGTTCTAAAACAGGGTACTTTGCATCAGGAACAGCACCTGTCCCAAAGAGATGGCAGCTGCTCTCTCACACACAGGCACAGTGACTTCTGATGAACTCCTTGGCCTTTCGGAAGAGTTCTTTCACGCACGTACAAGAGCCAGCCAGGTGGGGGTTGGCACTACTGACCACACCACCTTTGCTGGGGGTATAGTAAGAGCAGGTAGGCTGTGAGAATCCACACGCTAAGAAACAGATGGGAGACACACAGATACACACACATGTTCTGTTCTGCCCTGGCTCCAAGAACCCAGGGTTATCTCTGCAGTGATGTTTCTTTTGCTAAAATGGAAGGGGAAAAAAAACTGTCCTGCCAAGCTTCTCTTGTTGTCTTCTGCTGTTTATTAATTCAAAGCTGCACCACCCTGGCGCCCACAGACGTGTTCCTGATCTTAGCCTGACCCATCTCAGCTCCTGAAGCCGTTATTGTACTTTCTCTTTTCTTGTACTATAGCACTAGAAAATGAGAACCTAAAGTCTCAGAAAATCATAGCTTTTTGAAAGATCGAATCTCGAACTGGCATGAGTTGACAACCCCTTTGCCTTTCTCCCCATAAAGCAAAGTGATTTTCTTTCCTAGTGCTGTACAATAGATCTGTAATGAGTGAGACCATTGCTGCTACTGTCCTGGGTTTACATCCGTCTTCTCTTTCCCTTGAAGAGTACCTTCTTTACTTCTTTGATGACTGTTAATTCTATTAAAGGCAGGAAGGGTTGAGCCTTTGATGTCTTCCCTTACTGCTCTCCTCTCCTTGCCCCTAAATTACACACCTCTAACTCCTGGAGCCTGCTGTGGGTCCCTTTGCAGGATCCTTGGCCCAGGCTGCCCAGCAGCTCCCGGTTCCTGGCTCCCCCACCACAGCCCTCAGAGCCGGCGCCTGGGGACCATGACTACCCACTCCTGGGGTGTCTTGTAAGGGAGAGAGGCCTCCCTGGTTTGGCCTTTATAACTTGGCCTTCAGATGCTTCCTGCTCCAGCTGCCTTCCTTTTCCTTCGGGCAATTTGCCGTGGGCATTCCCCAGCTGCTCTGCTCACCTCTGCCCCCCTCACCCCTTCCAGTGACCCTGAGAGCACAGCCCTGAGTCCCAAGGCCTGTGCGGAGCTCAGAGAACTGTGAGGACTGGCCCTGCTGGTTGGCCTCTGCTCAGGGACGGAGATGGACAGGGACACGGTGCTGTTGGTGAAGGAGTCCCATCTTCACCCCAAGCTCGAGGTTTCATCCTACGCCCAGCCCTGAGTGCGGCTCACCATGTGGCCGGCTGTGGAGTGCTACAGTGTGTAGGAGCTGCTCCTGGCCCCGGGAGTGGCGGGACAGACCGCTCGCCAAAGCCCCTGTGGCTACACAACTGCCTGGGTGGTGACCTCACACCAGATTCCATTAGCTGTCCAAGTAACTGGATCCCACCCAGTCCATTAGCTCCTGAGGATGGATGGGAGCAGGTGATTTCAAATGAATACAATCCAGAGTGGCAGTAGAGGATTCCTTTCGCTTTAAAATCTTTGAACTAAAATGGGGGGAAAAATGTTTTTTTTTATATATATAAATCTATAAATTGTTATGTAACTATTATTGTTTCCTGTATGTTCTAATTTTGTTTTATGATGTAATTAAAGGAGATGAGCTGTGATGACTTTGCTTTTTCCTGGGGGAAAAGCCAGACTCAGAGCTGTGGCTCTCCGTCTCCTTGAGCCCTAGAACTCCACAGGCTCCTAGGCAGACCAGGGGAATTTTTTCTCTGGCATCTTTATGCTTCTGCGCCCCCTCCCTTTTTTTTTTTTTTTTTTTTTAAGATTGCTTTATTTTTATTGGAAAGGCAAATCTACAGACATGCTGGTTCACTTCCCAGATGGCCCCAATGGCTGGAGTGATCCAGTCCAAATCCAGGAGCCTCCGCCGGGTCTCCCACTGGGATGTAAGAGTTCAAGACTTTGGCCCATGCTCTGCTGCTTTTCTCAGCCAATAAAGCAGGGAGCTGGATGGGAAATGATGCAGCTGGGACTAGAACTGGCACCCATATGGGATGCCAATGCTACAGACAGAGGATGAGCTTGTTGAGCTACTGTGCCTACCCCACCTTTCTCATCTTTATTCACCACTCATTTATTTAGTCATTTGATATGCTCTATTTAATCCTTTCTAATAGCCATTATTTAATATCCTGGGCTTCACCCATCGTCAAGAAACACAGGAAAACATAATATAAATCAAAATCACCTGAATTAATTGGAGGGTTACAATTCAGCCCCTGTGTGTTTGCAGGGCATCCATTACCCTTGCCTGGAGGTAGAGCAATGTGAGTCAAGGTGCCCAGGCGTCAGCTTGCCTGAGCTCACCTGAGTGTCATGGGCTGCAGGCTGCCCGTGGGACCCCCTACCCCCTCCAACACCCACATATCACCTGTCTCCATGTGCATGTGACAGTGGAGCAGCAGGAGCTGCCCTCTGCCGCTGTGAGGATTAAACAGGGGAACGGTACATGGGAAAGCACTCTTGTGCCAAGTGCCTTTATGCTCTTCACTTAACAAGCACTTGAACATCTGATGTGTGCAAGAGGCCTCCAGGGCTCATGAGCAAAGGTAAACACCGCGGGTCCCTGTCCTTGGAAAGGGATGAGCCAAGAGCCCCTTCAGCGACCTCAGCCTCTACCCTGGGGAGATTGAGGCATCCCAGTGCTCCGGGACTCTGCAGAGGCTTCAGCTGACCTGGATTACTCATGGCAGCAGCACAGTTCCCTCCAGGGCTGCCAGGCAGGTGTCTGCTGCTGGAGATGCTCCCTAGGTTTTTGAAGTGAAGAAGCACACTTCCTTTCCCACATCCTTTGTTAACCAATTCCGCCAGTGTTTAGAACCTTTCCACTTGGCTACCTTCCCTAGCCAAAGGCCAGTGCTGTGTTCCGGTGAGTTAAACCTCTGGCTGCTGCACACAGGATCCAGGTCCCTGCCTCAGGCAGAGGGCTCTGCCATTATGCCTGTTAACTAGACAATAGACAGTAAGTGAGCCCCACAGCCACAAGAGAGGTCTTTATTTCAGGAGGGGGTGGGTAGCCCTGGGGCAGGGAGAAAGCAGAAGCAGAGACAGTTTGAGAAAAGAGACCAAAACAAAAGAAAGAGGCCTTTATAGCCTCAAGGTGAGTTGGGGAGTGGGGATAAATGCCTGGGGGAGTGTGGTGGTCGGTAGAAGACACTATTTGAACCTGGAGGTCACTAAGCTTACTAGGCAAGTGCACCTTAAAGGGTCTAAGAACTAGGGGATTTACGGTGCTGGGGTAAGCAGGGAGTCCAGGAAGGCAGGATCAGGGGTTAGTTTTTGAAGCTTCTGTTCCAGTTGCTCCTTACAGTGCCTCCCCCAGGAGCCAGTAATTCAATCTAAGTCTCCCAAGACGTGGATGGGTGGATGGCGCAAGTAGTTGCTGGAGCCAGGAGCTTCATCAACGAACCTTAGCTGCTTCCCCACAAGGCCAGCCTCATGGCCCCCACTGTGTTGTGCAAATTAAAGGATAGTTGCTAGAGGATAAATAATTCTGGTGCTTCCTTAAATTGCTGAAAGTCGGGTTTTTACTGGGCACGGTGATTCGAATGTTGGATAGTCATTTGAGGCCTTAGTAATTAGTGTTTTTTTTTTTTTTTGCCCCAACTAATTGAAAAATAAATCCAGCCAGATTTATTTATTCCCTTGTCCTAGACCCCCATCCCTTGCCCTAGTTTATAGTTTAAGTTGAGAATATTTCCCCTTGGGGCTTATAAAACCAAGGAAATTGAGCAAACATTGAACAATACATGGAGTATCTGTACCTTTCAAAAAAATTAACTTTTCATTTAAAACTCTTCAAGAAGAAGGTGTGGGGATTAAACATGGCTTAGCACACATGAGGTATCCCACAGCCAGCACTGCCCCTGGCAAAAGTGATTTGCCCAAACTGCCAAGGTTTTGAGCCTAAGCTTGGCCAGCTCAGAAGATTGGGCAGAGGGGACTGTGGCCAGGGTTTCAACAGCCATGGCTGACTGGAAAACAACCTGAGGGTCTGCTGCTTCCTCCGCTCCGCCAGGGATGAGGTACGAAACAGCTTGGCTGTCTACCTGCAACTGGGACATCAGCTGAGGATTTATTTTTAAGATCTCTTTTACTTGAAAAGTCAGATTTGTAAAGAGGAAGAGACAGAACTTCCATCTGCTGTTTGACTCCCCAGATGACAGCAGAGACCAGAGCTGGGCCAATCCAAAGCTGAGAGCTTCTGGGTCTCCCTTGTGGATGCCAGGGTCCAAGAACTCGGACCATCCTCTGCTGCTTTCCCAGGTCATAAACAGTGAGCTGGACTAGAAGTGGAGCATCTGGGACACAGACCAGCACCCACATGGGATGCCAGCACCATAGGCAGAGGCTTTGTCGATAGGCCACCACGTTGGTTCCATCAGCTGAAGATTGTAACACAGCTGGTCAGCGCACAATCTGGCAGCGTCTCAAGTGCCTGGGGCGGAAGCAGGTGTTAGCCTTCTGGGTTCCATACTGAAAACCATGACAAGGGCATCCCTGGGATGTGGCAGGTCCCTGACCTCTTAAACCCCTGAAGTGCGTCCACCACACCCAGGGGCTGTGCCCACCCCACTTCAGATCCCCCTCTGGTCAGTCTCCCAGTATGTTGCCTGCCAGGCTGGCCAGCTATAGCAGAGCAGGAGGGGTAGAGGCAGATCTTTGGTGATCCGGCCTGCTGACGACTGGTCAGCACTGCTCTGCCAGTTGGGGTCACCTTGCCTCTATAGCTGTTAGGAAGCTGTGGAGGAGGGTGGGAGACTGGGTCCTCCCCTCTCCTAAGCCCCATGACAACAAAAGCAAACCTATTATCCCTGGGAACCATGTGTGTAATCAGTTGTGTTTGGCTTGGTGGTAGCTTGTCTTCAGCTGTAAGAACACAAGCTGGCTAAGATGTATTTATTTTTATGAAAAGGCAGATGTACAGAGGGGAGAAA